AGTCGTAAAGTTCCAAGAAAACTGGCAAAAAGGCACAACTTCTGCTAAGTCAGAAGTTTACTGAAAATATTTGACATTGTTTTGCTCCAACAAATCCCAGAAGTCCTCTAAGATTTAACTGGTAAATGTACGAGATGGGTATTTGAATATTTTCCAAAGTGTAGGGGTCTTTTCCTTGTTTAAATATCAGAAATTATGGGAAATTTTAAAGGTTTTGGTTTAGCTTTATTGTACATTAAATGTATACATTTTGACCTGTCAGTTGGCATCAATAATTTCAGCTGTATATAATAAGTTATGATGTATGGCTGTACTACCAAGCTTTAGTACAATAAAAAAGTATCCTTGCAAACAGAATTCAATTTATTTCTATGTCACCTATTCACAAAAGTTTTCTAAGGAAATAGTCAAAACCTTATAAAGTTCAGAGTCTGAGTTCTTTGTATTTATCTAACATTATCCATTATCAGCTAAACTCAGCAGTAATAAAACCTGACCTTAACATGAATCTGAAGTTATTTGGGTTGTTTTCTGCTGGGCCTTTTCTTTTGAAGAGCGCTAACTTGTATGTCGCTGACTTGTCTGCTGTGCATCAGGCTACGGCAGCAGCTGCTCAGGCCAACCTGGTCAAGCAGCAGGAGGAGCTGGAGAGGAAAGCCGCAGAGCTGGAGCGAAAGGAGCAGGAGCTGCAGAACAGGAGCAACAGAGACCCAGGAGGTAAAGCTCTGCACGTGTTTTTTTCTGGAGTTGCATGGAGAAAATGCTTGAGTATGAGCATCAGTTCCACCCTCCTGTGTTAAAATCTGTGTTTCTCAGCTAAGGAAAACAACTGGCCGCCTCTTCCGAGGTTCTTTCCCATAAAGCCGTGCTTCTATCAGAACTTTGAGGAGGATATCCCAGAGGAATACCGCAGAATCTGCAAGAGAATGTACTACCTCTGGATGTGTATGTAGCCTGCATCTCTGTATGCCTTCACCCAAAACCCAAAGAGATCATTTAAAAAAATATATATATATATAGGAATAAGTCATTCATGTGTTAAAACTAATGGATGTATTAAATATTCTCCTGTTTTCTTGTGAATCACCACAGTCCACAGTGCCACCCTGTTCCTCAACATCCTGGCTTGCCTGGCTTACTTCACCGCTGATGCTGCTAAAGGTGTGGACTTCGGTCTGTCCATCCTGTGGTTCATCCTCTTCACCCCCGTGTCTTTTGTCTGCTGGTACAGGCCGGTCTACAAAGCCTTCAGGTACAGATTTACCTTCAGAACCAGATCCAAGTGATGGTGATGGAGAAGTAGATGTGTAATGAAAAACCTTTGCGAATGCTTTATGAATATTTTTCAAGTATGAACATGTACGTGTAGCATTTTAGTAACTTGAATTCACTTCTTTAATGCTAACCAATTAAACTTGTAAGTATTAAATAAAGAAATTGTATCTTTTTTTTAAAGACATGCAGTTAGGGGACAAAAATTGCGTAGCTGTGGTCGTGTACTATTGCTATTACAATAATATTCCCACTCACAAGTTGTTCTCTTGCTTTTGGAGTTTAAGTGTATAATCTGACTGCAAATGACTGGTGCTTAACCCACCGTTTCTAGAGTTGAAGAGTTGTGACAATTAATGCTGAGACTCTTCTAGCAACAACTGGTTCCTAAGCACTTTCTGCCTTTTTATGTTTCCATAATATGAAAGTTGAACTTTTAAATGTTACACAACACTTAAAATGTCTGTTTTTCTTTTTCATCCACAGGTCTGACAGCTCCTTCAGCTTCTTTTTCTTCTTTTTTGTTTTCTTCTTCCAAGTGGCAGTGTACATTATCCAATCAGTGGGCATTCCCTCATGGGGAAACAGGTGAGTGTAGTGTTGGCAGATTTTCATTCACATTTGTTCTCCAGTATGTATGAGCATGATGATGTGCGTAGGTTTGTAAAAGTGCATGCACAACTCACAGCTGAGTGTTTTGGTGGTTATTTCTTTCCTGTTTTCTACTCTCTTGCATATCTTTGACAGATTCCTGTTGACCTATCTTGTGTGCGGTGCTTTTTTTTGTAAGTGCGCAGAGCCTTTCTTCTTGGGTTTATTTTCAGCATCATGTTGTGTATTAATTCTTGAAAGCCTTTTTCATCTTCTGTTCTTTCGAGTTTCATATTTTCCCAAGTATCAGCGGGGATAGCTTGGATGCTGGCCAACCCAGCAGTTTGTTGGAGCATTTATTTTTAAACATGTGTAGCATTGACTGCGGAGGAAAATTTCAAACTTGTGGTCATATTTCTTTGCTGTTGGTTTTTTACAGTGGATGGATCTCATCAATTAGCATGATTCGTACAAACTTGGCAGTTGCCGTGGTTATGATGGTAGTGGCTGGTTTTTTCACCGTCAACGCAGTTTTGGGTGTCATCCTGCTGAAAATGGTAAGTTACCCATTTTTTACATTGCAGGTGTTAGGTATTCCATACAGTTGTGCTTATACCTCTACAAAACAAAGTGGACATAGTCTTCAGTCTTAATGATAGGCTAATTTTATTGAAGAAATTCTACCAACCAAATAAGTTGATTTTTCAGGTCACTGAATGAAATAAATTTGATCGTTTTATGACCCAAACAAAAGTATACCTCCTGCATTATTCAGGTGGCTACAGATGATACTTACCACATGTGTCAGTATGGAGATGAGTTAAAACGCACCATAGTAACCAAAGAAATCATTAGAAATGCATTATGTTGCTTAAGAATATAAGTGCATCTTAAGTTTGAGCATCTAAATGATGGATTCAGTACAGTTTTGGGAGAAAGTGGTCTGGCTGAACAGGACCACAGTCAGAGTCTTTTGGTATCTGCTAAGAGTTCAGGAAAACTTCACTGCTCTAACGAGCTAATTTCTGTTTTTGGCTTTTTTTTTTTTTTAATTTTTGTCATTTGTTGAACATTTATTTTTAAAAGCAGTAAAAAGGGTTAAAAACATCCGAAGGGGTGAATACCTTTTTGTGGCTGAGTATTTCAGGTAAATGTCATGCAAATTAAATGTTGACTTTTATCAAATGTATTTTTCTGAATAACCTATATTTGTCATAATTCTCATCCCAGGTCCACTCCAAGTACAGGAATACAGGCGCGAGCTTCTCCAAGGCTCAGCAGGAGTTTTCCCAGGGAGTCCTGACCAACCGCACCTTCCAGAGCGCCGCCGCTAGCGCCGCCACCTCTGCTGCCCAGGGCGCCTTCAGCGGTAACCAAGGGAATTAAACTGCTCCAGAAAAATACCTGGAGCAGTCAGGCTAGTGTTTTCTAACCAAGAACCCATGACTTATTGTCACGGTTAGTTGTTTGGAACAGACCTTTGATAATTTTACAGATATTTGCCAAAAGAACAATGAGAAACTCACAAAACGGCTTTATGACGTGTATAAATTCTGTGTCTCAAACACAACTAAAACAAGAATGTTGATGCAAGCAGTGCCTTGAAGATGGCCTGGTAGTTTTGACATTTGAGACTGCCTTTTATCAGTGTGCAATATGTTTGAATGTGCAACCAGTTTGTTTGGTTTAAAACAAATTAGCCGAACCAAAACGAGGCCTTAAGAACAAATCTGATATTAGTAATGAGTTGAACTTCATAATATAAGTATGCAGAACTTATAAAGCAGCCTGAATATCATTCTGATCTGAGCGTTTGTACTTAAAGCAAACTATGTACCAATTTTTTATTTTTTTATTTTTTTTGTTATAAATTTTCTGTTACTGTTTTTCTGCTCTCTAAATTTGGGTTGTGTGTGTGTTTTTTTTTTTTTTTTTCATGTATGACATGTACATGAGCTGATGACTAATGAAGGTGATGGGATGAAGGTTTGTCTTTGTTTGCTTTTAATTGGCTTGCTGAGTTTTGGTGGAATGTGTCTAAAAGGGTAAATGAAGATGCGATTTTTGAGGGGGCTGCTAAGTTTTTATTCTATATTTACTTGTGAAGGAAACATCTGTTTTCAGTCATAACTGAGCCTTCCTGTAATTACAAAGTAATGCATTAAGGTTTGGTGTAAAATTACTGATGAATACTAGATGGACTTGCATTAGTGAGCTGAAAAAACAGAATACTTACAGGGCACAAAGTAAATATTAGCTGGTTACTTCAAGGTTATTAGGATTTATAAGACTTGGCATTGAATTGTATATAAAACTCATGACTTCTATATTTATGTATCATGTTTGTGTCTTTTTAACTAGTTTCAAAACTTTTTAATATGATTGTATGTCTATGGAAGGATTGTGTTGTAGTTTCCTGTTATGATCAAAATGTTTTGTACATATTTTTATTTAAACTATATTTACTGGATGGGCATGTGTTGGAAAATAGTTGTGCTTGAACAAGCAATAAACATTGATTTAAACTAAAGAATTTACTTCTTTTACTTACCAATGCCTTAAGTAATGAATGAAAAGGATGTTGAGTCAGTTATCCTGGTTTGCGTTTTTCTTTTTCTCGATCTCCTTGTAGCATGACTGGTTAAAGAAGTTCACATCTCTTAATGTTCCTACAAAAATGCACTGACATGTTTATATGATGCTTATAAATTTATACCAACCTCTAAATGTAAGCATGTAACGGGCCTCTTATTATGTAACAAGAGTGATGGCAACAGCAAACAGTCCATGGTTATGGTTTATTTGAGCCATAAACTATATTGTCAAGGATGTAGGACATTTGAAACGGTTACTATAAACTTGTATGATTTTAACATAATAAATTTTGCTTGGTTTTTTTTTTTTTTTACCACTACAAATATTCTAAAAACTATACACTTACTCAAGCTAAAAATAAAATATTGAGAGCACCATCTCTAAGGCAATACAGACATTGTATTGCTAGTTCCTAGGCTGAAGATTTATTTAAAGCAGTCGAGCCTTCTGCAGGTTTTGACCTCGGAAGGGTGATTTCTTTCTTTTTTCTCTCCAGTTGTAGGGTCCCTCATTGTACTTATGAACATTCATAGACGTCATTCCGTACACGTCCATTCGTAACTATAGCAACGGCTTTTGCTGATGATCTTCTCAAGATGGCGGACGCAGAGAATGCTACTGTGGTGAGTGTATATCATAAATTCAGTCTTGACTTTGCAGGGTAAACATTAATGTCACTGAACCGTTTGATAGCGAGACACTCGGTGGGATAACCCAGCACCTTTACCAAAAGCACGGTCTGCAACTGCGCTTATTTTAAACGCCTGGTAGCGACCGCTAAGTCGGAGCTTATGAAGACCGCTAGCAAGAACTTTCAAATTTAATCCCTTTTATCTCATTGCAAAACTCAAACCGGAGTGCTTACAGCTGTAGCTAAAAGCAGACGAAGAAAATGCCCTGGGGGATATGCGTTGTTTGCTATTTTAGCCCACTACATCCTGTGCTGCAAACTACAATTAACTTATGTAATAGTTATGAGGTTTTGAAATATATGCCATTAAGACCTGCTTTATTGAAGCCACCATTGCATTCAGAACATTTCGCAAGCATTAAAATGTATAGAAGTGGTTTAAGGCAGTTGGATTGCGCATGCGTGTGTTAAATTTATACTCAGCTGCTGTAAATTGTCCTTGGCAGTTTTCCACGGCGGCTCTCCTTAACGAGTTGTATTCTAATAATGATTATATCTCAATGACAAAATCAGAGGCTATCATACTGTCCGGTTGTATTAACTACAGTGTTAACACCGACACGTAAAGGTAACTTTAGCCGTAACCATGTAAACCTACTCATACAGGATGATACGTCAGTTTATTAATATAAATTATATTTCTAATTTTTTCTTATCAGTTAAACAACCGCAGTTGTAGAAGATTTATCTGTTTTTTTTTTATTTTGTTTTTATTATTTTAGTCCTGAAGTGTATTCATTTCTCCAGACTCTTGCAATAATTTTAAAAACACACTTAACTTGTGTGATCCAACTACAATACTCCTCATCTCCTTATAACTCAGTAAATTTGTCTAAAATTGAGTGTTGTAAGTAATATGCCTATTGTTTTTGGGTGTGCCAAACCAAAATGTTTCACATTCAAGCAATCCTCACAGTTTTAGCGTCTGGCCCTTTTGTTTGGGAGAACACCTCTTCTCAGTCTGGACCTACAAAACAGCTGATAACACATTATTATGCACATAGGAAGTTATAAAAAACATTAAAATGCAATATGACCGTAAAACAAATACCTTTAGTTGTCAGTGTTTGTATTTCCTAATTATTACCTTCTTATTTACATACTTAAGAAAGAAACTAACAGTCAATTTTGACCCTCAGGTCAAGATAAATCTGACCTGAGGGTTGTCATTAAGTAGACATTATCTCAGAAAATAAATATAATTAAAATCCGACTGTGAAGATGCTGCTTCTCATGTTATGCACGTTATCATGAGCTTTCAGAGATCCACAAGTGATTAGAATGCGGTTTCCAAACAAGATTTCTTATTCTCATGGTGTCCGACACATGTCTTTAGCAGTACCTGCTGAAGAAATTGTATACTGAAACACTGAATATGTGTTCGATTGGTTCTGTCCCGGTTTTTATTCACATGTTTCACCTGTTTTTGTTTCTTTTATTACAGCTGCCAGTTCCTACTGAAGCTAAGAAGCGCCGTGCACCTAAAGGTACAACCCAACTTGATTTGTTTCCACTCGGGTTTGCCATTAACGTTCTTTCGGTTTAAAACTGCCAAGTCATGATCTGCCTGCAGAGGTCACCCTCACTCTTCGGTTTGACATACTGAGCTGCTGAGCCATCATGTTGAGAGGAATATTTATAATAAATTAAGGTTGTTTTTTGTCATCTTAATTTTCTATATTATCTTTTTGTTGTTGTCATACGATTAATCGTGTCCTCTTGTGTTTTTTTCATCGAATCTGTCTTTATAATCACCAACTACTCTAGAAGGCTGTTTATTGCTCACTACAAGTCGGGGTTGTCTTTCCTCTGCCGTGACCTTCTGTATGGAGAACAGTCCTGGGGTGAACTTGATATATTTTGAGGAAACAAAAGAGAATGAGTTATCATCATCATCAAGTTCATTAGTATTGCACATTTCAGCAACAAGGCAATTCAAAGTGCTTTACGTGATAAAAACATGACGCAATAAACAGGCAAAAAAAAAAAAATACACTGACATGAAAAAATAAAGAGAAGTATTGAAAAGTTGCCATTCAGACTAAAACTAGGGATGTTCCAGTCATTAATGAAAGACAACTCTAAACAAATGAGTTTTTAGCTTTGATTTAGAGCAACACAGCAGTTTTGCAGTTTTTGGAAATTTGTTCCAGAATAGAGGTTAGATCTGAGTCCATCACTACACCCAGATTTTGAGGCTGCCTACTATGTTTCTATAATAACTGAAGCTTATTATAAAACTGACTCTATAGATTGTTCCTCCTTTTTTTTTCCAAAAGTAAATATGTGGTAAAGAAATTGATTTGTTGTGTACAGTTGATGTTATTCATAAATTAACATTATTCATGTGTTTCATCTAGTGATGCAGATAACATTCACCAGACCTGAAAGTTACATTGGGTCCAATCCACAATTTAAGTAAGTAGGACCTATTTAAGTGACGAGGGGCTCCATATGTAATGATTTGGGACATAATATTCTCAAAAGTGCAAATTACAAAATCAAACCACACTCAGTAAATTCATGGAGCCACAACACATTTGATACAGTCAAGTCTTCAGATCAGGAGATCGTGTAGTTTGTCCAGTTGATCTGAGTAAATATAGAGCAACCATAGATGTGTATTTATGAAGAGCTGTTTCATCATTTTAAGTGAAACAGCAATAATTCTAGGAAGCAATAAAACAACTTGAAATATGGAAAGCTTTATAATATGCTGCTATGACCTAAACAGTAGAAATATGACAGACCCTCTTAATACTTAATATGTACATATAATTACATACATCTTATTGTTTTTTGGTAACTGATACCTTAAATTGTTTGTCAAAAGTCTAAACCCTAAAAGTAATAAGATAAAAAGCAACAAAGCCGATATTAATTGTGTCCATGGATACTGAAGGTTTATATATTCTATAATTACTATCACGAAATGCAATTAGAATAATTTAATGCAGGCTCAAAGTTAATTATGGTGTGCACAACAAGAGTATTATGGTCTATTATTAGGTTATCTGCAGTGCAGCCCAGCATCTTTTCCTGGATAAAAAGCCCAGAAGGTGCAAACATGACTGTTTGCTTTGCAGCATGTTTCAGCAACGTAAGATTAGATTAAACGACCCAACGAGATGAGGGGCTTTCTGAAGTTTTCTGAGGGGAAAACTTCCCAAAAAATTATCATCTGTTTTTTCTTTTTTTTATTATAATCTCCCCATGTGTCCTTTGATCTCAGCACGCCTCTTCTCTGCTCTTATCCTCCTTTAACATGTGGCTGAAACACAAGCTAGTCTAAGCTTAGCATTAGCCAGATCCAATACAACAATGCCATAATTCCTTTATGTTTGGGATAAAGTTTTTTTGTTTTTTTTCTGCCTCCCTCCCCTACACAGCTATATATGGGACACCACATGCTGGGCCTTTCTTGCTTCCCCCTGTAGTTGCGTGTCATAGATATTTTTGCTCTCTCTTCTCCAAATCTGCCTTGTTGTTGTTTTTGAATTCAGATCCAGGAATCCCACAGACACGCACACCGTCGCTCTCTCAGAACAAACAAATCCGATTGGGTTTCCACAAATGGGACCGTTTTGAAGTGAACCCGTCCAGTTTTTGCGTGGATTTCCGTGAAGCATTTAGAATTGGTTCCGGTTCTTCCTGCAAATTATGATCAGAGTTCTGCTTCAAGTCCTGGCAGATAAAAAAACAGCTGGATGGGTGGGGGGGGATTCACACTGTATTGTTACACTCTGTTCTTTAATAACACCCCTCCCTCTCTCTACAATGTCGCTGACAGCCTCAAAGCTGCAGCACTTTATTTTACAATGTATCGAATCCTATTTTTAGCCCGGAGGGAAAGGTAGTAGGTGCGAGATAACGGGATTACTGGAATCAAACTTGCTTCTGCTGGAATTACATTTTCCTTCCTTGTGAAATGAAATGTTGCTCTCTGCTGGGAAGAGAACTTGGAGCATTGTGCTTTAGTTCTTGAGGTTACCTAACCCTTTTCTAAAGCCCTACATTGTGCTGCTCATTCCCTCAGCCTCCCACTTTCATTCAATCTCCGCACGCTCTCTGTCACAAGCACCTGGCTTCCGAGAGACAGCGTTGCCCTGGCAACAAGAAGAATATCTCAACCTACCAAGATGTTAAAGAAGAAAGATAGTGGTGGAGGAGGAGGAGGGGAAAAAGCAAGTGTTTGTTAGGCAAAACTTGCGTACAAGGTGACATTTACAGCCTGACTGATGAGTTGATTAAAGTTTAGCCTGGGGTTGGTTGAAGCCTTAACAGCTATATGGTAACTGTTGCATCAAAGACGTGCACGAGACTGAGGTAGGGGTTCTTTCCAGATTATTTATTTGCTTTTCGAAATTTGAGAGAGGAAAAAAAAAAAACAGCATTCATACACAGACGTAACCGCTTCCAGCCTGAGCCATCTGTTCTTAAGTAAAAGCTAGCTAACAAGCAAATATCTCCAGTGTGTCAGGTGAATTGACTTAAATCCAGCTAGTGGATTGAGGTTGCAGGGGAACATCTGGGCTTACTGTCAGATCAGACACCTTTTAATGACTGCAAAAGGAGGGCGCATGCAAAATTAATCTTTCATCTCTCGACAAAACGAGACATCACCAGAGCTGAAGAATGTAGCGTGACTAAAATATCCCCCAGTTTCTTTTCAATTACAGGTTTTTTTCTCTTTCTCTCTCTCTCTTTCTGTCATGTCATCCAGCTCCAGAGCTTCCTATTGTGGAGAGAAGAAACTGGCTGATCCACCAGCACTATCTGCGCAAAGACTATGAGACCTGTAAGGTAAATGATTTAAATTCTCCCCGCGGCTCATTCTGTCATTGACCAACGTGTGTTCACCGTCAGATCCCGTCCGAACACACGAAGGGAACGTCAGTTTGCCACTCTGCTTGTTCTCTGCAGTAATTGCTGTATTCCTACATGAATGTGGTAAGCATTCTGTGAATGGATGCTTGCAACCGTAAGTCTTGTTCCTGGAATAACGCCTTCTTGCTCTCACTGTGAAGATCAGCCTCGTGCTAGGCGATAACGCGGCACATTCTTTTAATCTGCAGAAACTCCAACCTAGACTTTTAATCTGATTTCCTGCTGTGAAGTTTCATTAATCCGACTGTGAAAATGACTTGAAATGTAAACTCAGTCGGTTATAATATCTGAGGTTGTTTGAAGTCTATAAATACCTTCTCAGGAGGGTAATACTTAAAACAGAGCATTGACAAGTCAGCCACAAAACTCTCTCTATATATATACTCTAAAAACACATACTGTCTTTGGAAAAGAAGTCTCTTCAGTTTTATGTCACAACAAAATAATAAGGCACTTTCAAAACTATTTGGTCCAATTTTTGTGTATTACAATTTACTCTTTAGTTCATTCAATTCGATTCATTTAGTCCAAACCAAATCATTCAGTACAGTCAGATTCAGACAGTTGAAACCAGAATCAGGGCCAGTTAAGCTAACATGATGTTTTTGTTCTGTGGGAGGCAGTCGGAGTACCTGGAGAGAGTTCAAGCTTGCTCAAGGAGAATATGTACCTAGAAAGCCAGGATACAAACCCAGCACCTTTTTATTTAGGAGGGCTTAAAGCTGAGTTATAGTCGCGCTTTTGAAAGTTCACGTTGACTGAGCGTGACCCAAGACAGCGGTATGGCTGACAGTGCAGCCATATTTTCATAAAATGAGCCTTCATAGAGGTTCTACAAATGGTCTGCAAGAGCATCTTTCCAATCATTCATGTTTGCGTGAATGGTGGTGCCTGTGATCCTTACCGAGTTAAAAAATTCAGAGGTGAAAGACCAGGTGGTGTAAAGGCGCGTGAGGCCAGCGCGTTTGGCTCGCACCCAGTTCAGAGCGTCAACTTTAAACCTGGCCTAGCTTTAATCCCTATTTAAAATAAGAAATCATAAAAACATAATACAGGCACTAATTATGGAACAAGCATTAAACATTTCACTCCATCATCAAAATCCACCAGTCAAATATGTTGACACAACTGACTCAGATCATAATGTTAGAAACATTAAAGAAACCAATCAGAAACACTTAAGTAATAAAAATACAAATTTATTGCAACTGATTTCTGTATTACAATATTTTTCAATAATATTGCTTTTAATGTTAAGTTTGATGCATCTTTTAAGTGGCTGGTAAAGTCCTTTAGGAACGATGATGCAGCGTCAGGGTTGCCTGTTTGAGTTCGCCACACACAGATTGACATAAAGTAATGCATGTTTTATTAACAGAAGGCTAAAAAATATATTGAGGAACTTTAAAAAATAATTAAAGTTTAATCTAAATGCTAACTGCAGATATTAGGAGAAAATATATTTAGTCTATTATAAATGGTTTAGAATGGTTTTGCTAAATTCAAGGACTTAGACAAGGCAAAGATGCTAATTTGGACTTTAATTGATGATTGCTCCACTAAATAGTTATCCTTCTTTATTGGAAGATGCTAGTGATTTTTCATCTATTTTATTTTTCCAAGTACTAGCGAGAGGCTTCAAACCCATTATGCCAGTTGGAATTCTTCTTTTAATGTATTTTAAAATGACTTTAACTTATTGAAGTTAGTTATATTAAATTCTCTTAAGCAAAATGCCTGTTCAGTATTTCATCCACTTCATTAAATTAACATCCACCTGCCTCTGTTTCTGTAGGTGATCATTAAAGAGCAACTCCAGGACACCAATGGAATGTGTGAATATGCCATATATGTTCAAGGTGAGCCTCCGCTGCCGTCTTTCCCTTCTCACTTTCACCGTATATGTGATGTTAATTAAAAGGTGCAGTGAATTAAAAAAAAGCTCTACCAAGCTCCACGGTATGTGGTCTATTTCCCCAAATCCTCTCTTTGGATGGCGTGGAGAGCCTTTGATTTTTTTTTTTTTTGTCCTTTTTCTTCACATAGATGAAGATCCTCTTTTTTATGCCATGTCTTTGTTGTTATCCAGCGTTAATCTTACGTCTTGAGGGGAAGATCCAGGAGTCCCTGGAGCTGTTTCAGAGCTCCGCCATCCTTAATCCCAGCAGCTCAGACAACCTCAAGCAAGTGGCCCGATCACTGTAAGTCTGCTGCACTGAATCCTGCATGAGTGCATCGAGCCCCCCTCACTAACTAACAAGATCAGCATAGGAGGACACTTCCTAATAATTATTGTAAAAGTGCTAGGAGGTGAGGAACAGTAATTTTACAGATATTATCTCACTAAATTCACCTACCTGTGGAGGCTTTTCTCTGTTTCACAGAAATGGCTCAGTACAAAATTATATCTCGGGTTAATTTCTCATATTGACTCTTTTTGTATTATTTTCCTAGATTTCTTCTTGGAAAGCACAAAGCAGCTATTGAGTTCTATCATGAAGCAGCAAAACTTAATGAGAAAGACTGGGTAAATAGCACACACACACACACACACACACAGGTTCATATTTCTAGCTGTACAAGTCTTTGTATTGGCTTCCATTCACTTTAGTAACTGCATTTGTGTCTAATCCACACACATACTGTTTTACACTAACCCTAACAATATTAACACTATACTAGGGCTGCAACTAACAATTATTTTAGTAATCGATAGTGAAAAGCTCAGTCGTTTCTGCTTGACTTAACATCAATACAGTGCAGGGCTAATCTGTTCATTATTTTTTTATTAGCAGATTAATCATTAAATTTGCTTAATAGGAATATTTTTTACAGCATTTAAACCAGGTGAAGTTACTATGCCACTTGGAGAGTTCTGGGTAGAACATATTTATAGACAGTTTTTTTTATCTTAAAAATTATATGTTTTTAGCTAAATGTATATATTTTAGTACAGCATTGGCTTAATTATTTCCCTTAAAGTCTAGGGTTTTCTTAAACACAGGACCCTTTTTTGAGTCTGTGTACACAATTTAGCAATTAATTGTTTACTAAATTAGAAGACAATTATTTCAATAATCGATTAATTTGCCCCCGACTCTTAAAAAAGCTGTATTAGGAACAGGCCCGTGTAAGGTCCCATCACTCTTCAGAAGGTTAGTGAAGATGACAAAGAAGGTCCTAAATAGAATAGCTAAACAGTACCCACACACACACACACATTTCAGTGTGGAGTTTCTGCTTTCCTTTGAAGTCTGAAAGAAAAGTGTTAACTTGTGCTTCCTGGCATCTTTGACTCAGAAAACGCAGCGTGAAGTTCTCCTCACATCTTGAACGGAAAGTACTCTCAGTGAACTTTCCTTTTTCTCAACAATACTTTGTTAAACAGCAACTTTGTTGGAAGGCTGAGACAAACCAGTCCAAATATTTCAGATCCTCTCTTTCACTTCAGCATCCAGTTTCCACTAAACTTTCTCAAATGCTATTTTTATTAACAAATTAAACTAAGAGCAACACATCTGACATTCTCTCACCATAGGAGATCAGTCATAACCTGGGCATATGTTATTACTTCATCAAAGATTTCAAAAAAGTGAGTACTCCCAACATTACTCAGTAAAAAAAAATGTAGTTGTTGCCTCCAGAGGGAAGTTTGTTTATTTTTGATGCTCTGTTTCCGTCAGGCTGAGGAACATCTAAACGCCGCTCTGCAGACAAATAAACATGACAAGACCTTCGTGATGCTCGGGAAAGTTCATCTGCTGGCTGGAGACGCTGACAAGGCCATCGAAGTGTACAAGAGAGCAGTGGAGTAAGTGAGGTCTAAACATTCACACTGTTAGCAACCACTGAGCAGACAAGCGGTTGTTTTTAAGTCAAACACCAACCCAAAATAGCACAAAACATTTCTCCTCCACTGAAGGGTAACAATATTTGGTTTTCAAAGTTCTTTTTTAAACAACTAAACTAAAATACAAAAAAAAAAAACTATGACGTTGACGTGCATTCAGTCTCCCTTCTTCTGGTACCCCGAAAATCCAGTGTGTTAAGTTAGACACAACTAATTAGTCCATTTGTTGTCATTTAAACTCAGTATAAAAAAGCTGCTCTGTGAAGGGCTGAGAGGTTTGTTAGTGATCATTAGTGTCTATCCAGCTCTTGGGGAACAAAAAGTATTCTATTTATTTCAACAACATGGTTTTATTGGAAAAAAATAAGTTAATAGCAACACTAAAATTAGAGCTAAAGCTACAAAGTAATGGTTTTTATCTCAAAAACATAATCTTGTTGGAATAGAAAAGAAGAATTTTTTATTATCCCACTCAAATATAAGAATCTGAAATATATAAAACCAGAATAAAGAACAACATACTGTGTAGTACAGGCAACATAAACACTGTGCATTTATTATTGTTTAAAGCACAAACCGTCCATGTGGATTTGAAAATAAAAACAGACTGTACAACAGAGATGTGCAGATGTCAGTATATATGTGAGTACTTATTGAGTTTCTTTGGAATAGTGATGATTATTGAGTCTGATAACTGCAGGGAAGAAGGATCTGTGATAACATTCCTTTGTGCACCTTGACTATAGCCGTCTGTCACTAAAGTCCCAGTCAAAGTTCAAACCTAAATCCAATAAAATAAATTTGTGAGAAGACATGAAAATCCCCAATTAATCCAATTTCACTGAGTCAGCAATTTTTATAAACAAAATATGAGCAAAAGCAAAAAACCTCTAGATGGGGGAAGCAGGTGGAAAAGTCCCTAAAATGTAATGTTTACGGCTTGTTTCATAATTGCTTACTGTATTATATCTTTATGTCTAAAGTTTGGAGAACTATTTACCTCCTTTCTTCCACTTCTGAGTTATGCATTGCTTCGTGTTGTCACATAAAATTACTATAGTCCGATGATTTAAATGCACTTCCAAGGCTTTGTAATGGGAATTTCATCCCTTATTTCAAGTTGAAGTTTCTAAAACTCTTTCTGGGGTTGCTTTCAACTTGTTCCTCCTTTGTTTATCCAACGATTCCCAGCCTTTAGAGCTCCCTGCAGGAAGTGTTTGTCATTTATTCCATCCAAAAGCTCCATCTTCACCATATTTCTTACCCCAGGTCCTTTCCAACTTCCTTATAAATTCGCCCCACTTCCAGTTTGCTGAATTTTTAAACACGAGGCTATGGAGTAAATAAGAAAAATGACATCAGTGTCTGTAACAGCGCTCATTATGGCTACCTCCTGTTGAGGCCAAATGAATTAATCAAATGCCCTAATACTTGTGCTGCCTTTAATGAGACGCACCACTGTGAGTCTTATTTTGGAGTCGATGTGCCTCCGCTCTACATTTCTCTTTGGGCCACACAGGTCATAATTAATACGCTACAATTAAGCTTAAGTAAAGCCTGATGGCATAATCAGCAGCTTCTCTGCTCAAAGAAGTGCAGGCATTAAGTGTAATTACAAGCATGATGTGGACGAGGTGACATTTGTCATTTAACGTGCTCCGTGCTCCATTCAGATTCTCTCCAGAGAACACTGAACTCCTGACCACTCTCGGCCTCCTTTTTTTGCAGGTGGGTGAAGTTGCTTGCAGCCTCTTCTGTGATTTTAATTTGTACTTTTAAAACAAAAAGTACTAATAATAATATTCTGTTCTCCCTGTCTAGCTCGGGAAGTACCAGAAAGCCTTCGAGCATCTCGGGAATGCCCTCACTTTTGACCCCAACAATTATAAGGTATGCTGGCTGTTGGCGCAACATCACTGTTCAAGTTCAAACCTTCCTGCTGAACACCTGAAGGCAGCGCTGAGGTTTTCCTTTCACAGCGGTTCACTTGGAGCAGACGGTCAATCGCAGTCAGACATGTTCCAGTCATCATGTTCTGTTTCAAAGTGTACATCTTCCTCTTAATATGTCTCTCATCACAGATTTTTTTTTTCTTCTTCCCAGGCCATCCTGGCCGCAGGCAGCATGATGCAAACGCACGGTGACTTTGATGTGGCCATGAACAAGTACAGAGTGGCAGCGTGCGCCGTGCCGGAGAGCCCCCCTCTCTGGAACAACATTGGCATGTGCTTCTTTGGCAAGAAGAAGTATGTGGCGGTGAGTGATGCTGGTTTTTTTGTGTGTGTGTTGCTTGGAGGAAAGTGCTGTGGCACAGCAGTTAGAGCAGCTTAATGGGATTTGTGCACCAGAGGTTTTATATATAAGCACATCATTGAAATGAGCTGGAAATAGGCTGAGAAACTTTTAATGTTTTACCTCCAGAGTACAAAACAGCACATCGGATTCTAAACTTATCATTTATTGAACAAAACTGAAGCTAAATTATACAGGCGCTGCATTGGAAAGCCATAATTTTAATAGCCGCAGAAACATTATCAGCAGTTCTGATGAATAAGTTGTTTTCTGCTTGATTTTAATCTGTTTTTCACATCCTTATGGATAAATGTTGAACCACTCTTCCTCAGTGTTTCAGCAGCTCATTAAAGTTTGCACACTTTTGTTTCTGAGATCCCACCACAGCATTTCTATGAAGTTGAGGTTTTTTACTTTGACTGAGCCATTGCAGCACATTCCCTTCTTTTTTTTAGCCACTCTGTTCTATCACTTATTTTGTTGTTTTGTTATCCTGATTATTGTCTATCTATGAACCCTGTTGACTTTGTTCAAACACGGGGGCCGAGATAATTAAGCATGTGGGGGAGGTACTCTGGTCAGAATATGAACTAAACTGTATCTATGTCTTTTCTTCTGCTTATCATTAAAGCATATGTGTAATATAGTAGTGGCTCATAACACAACTGAGTCTGACTCATACGCCCTTGAAGCATTTTAAATCCACTTGTTCCTAGATTGTTCTGCCTCAGATACAATTACCATGCTTCCTCCCCCTCTTGTTCCCACAGGCCATTAGCTGCTTGAAGCGCGCTCACTACTTGTCTCCCTTTGACTGGAAAGTGTTGTACAACCTGGGGCTGGTACACCTGACCATGCAGCAGTACGCCTCAGCTTTCCATTTCCTCAGCGCAGCCATTAATCTGAACCCACGGATGGGGGAACTCTACATGTTGCTGGCAGGTACCGTGTCAAAGACGGAGAAGTGATCCGTGGTATAATTTAATTCCTTTAAAACCAAGCCGTCTTGCCATTTTTGTAAACTTTGTGGGCATTTAAAGTGTTTTAACATTTTTATTCAAAATAGACGCACTGTGAAGCTTTTCAGGACAGATTTACCAATAAAAAAAAAGCAATGTCTAGTGAATTTAGTTTATTGCTAACTCTTTTCTTATATCTTTAATTAACAGTCGCTTTGACTAATTTGGAAGACGTAGAGAATGCCACCAGAGCATATGAACAAGCTGCGAATCTTGATGAGTGAGTCCTGGATTCCACACTGTAATTGTTACTTAAAATGTAAAACTTTATAAAAATCATTAGTTTTCTTCTCTTCCTTGGTGACCAAGCCCCCACAGACCCAACCCCATGGTCAACCTGAACTTTGCAATATTCCTCTATAATCATGGAGACAAGAAGAGAGCTCTGGATCAATATCAGGAGATGGAAAGGAAAGTCAACCAACTGCGGGATAGCAGTAGCAACTTTGAGTTTGATCTGGAGGTACACCGTAGCTCTCTGCTGCTGATGTCAGGAACCAGCTGTGGTTACATGTCACGACTTGTTAACCTGTTCCTTTTATTCACTCCCAGCTGATGGACATGGCTCAGAAGATGGGGGCTGTGCTGCAGGTAACAGATACTCTGGTTTGGACTAAACCGGGCAAGGACTCCAAAACCAAGCCTCACTCTGCAGCAGCAGCCAAAACCCCGGGAGCTCCTCTCGGCACCAACCAAGCTCTGGGTCAGGCCATGTCTTCAGCTGCCAGCTACAACAAGAACATCCAGTTAACAACAGGTGTGCTTTCCCGCCGTGGGCCGGGAAGGGTTGGATAAAACCTGCATCCAACCCATTGCAAATGTATTTCTCTCAGCTGTGGTTGTTACCTGTTAGACTAAGTAAACAAAGTTAATTCGCTTTTAAAGTTTAAATAGGTTTTGCTGCTGCTTTCTGGCAGTTTACATACATTCCTAGCTCTGAGGTTAATTGTGCAAACCAGCTAATGCATTCAGTCAGCAGCCAAACCACGTACTTGACCTTTGTATTGTGCATTTTTGAATAAGTGGCTAATAGATGGGAAAGAAAAACAATGCACTCTACCATCAGTAGTAGGGCTTTACGGCTGTTACGTAGCTAGCTGCTGTTCACCTACTTTCACATGAAAGAAACCTTTAGTTTTCAAAGATATCACATTTCTTGTGGAACATTAGTTTTAGATGTACCAAAGCTGTGACAAAAGATTAGGGAGTTTTTTTAAAGTCAATGCAAGGCTTGCAAGGCTTCTTATGACACTACCAGCATGTACGAAGTAACCCTGGAACAATTGTTCTGCTTCACTAATTCTCTTTACAAGACAAACCCAGTAACAGAGTAGATGCCATTAATTGTTTTGTGTACTCTTTTTTTTTTTTTTCCTATTTTCTGCAGAAGGTACTCTAAACCCATTCTTTCCATGTTTAGCAGTGTATCTATTCAAATTAGCGGCATTTCTGGCATTAGTTGTATGAAGTATTAGTCAGTAAGTGGCTCCTGCTAACATGCTTGGATCTATTTAAGCCTATTTGATTGTGTTGTATTGAAAGCAAACGTAGACAGGCTGCGTCAGTCAGATTCACCGTCCTTAATAAATGCTTCAGATTAATCAGAGCAGGTTTCGGTGGAATGAAATCAACTCTGCATGATATTTTTCAGGCGTTTCCAAAGGCCCTTCCACATCTCTCGAGCCAGAGCCTGATGCAGAGAACGCCCCCAGCTCACTGACTGACCCTCCAGGCTGCCCAGAACCTGAAGATCCAGACGGGTCCAAACCCAGAACCTCTAAGAGGAGATCCAAGGTGGAAGAATGAAGACATATTGCGGCCGCGGTACTACATGTGTCTCATTATACGTTTTTAATGTTACTGTAGTCAGATTTAAAGTGTTAGGCACAGAAATCCACTACTTACTTTACAGCTAAAAAAAAAAAACAGGGTAATTTTTCATATTTGGAACAGTTCATCAGACCGATTGGTGCAATAATGTCCAGCAGATTTCTTAGTTTAACTATGTTTCTATTCAGCCAAGAAACAGTAGGAGCCTTTGTGAAGTGGCCCGTGTCGAGATATTTCAATTTAGCTTATTTGATCCTTTCAGTTTTATTCGCTATTAGCTGAAAGGACCAATTTTCCTTGTATTGGCTTAAAATCCACTGCAGGTGAAGGAAACGCTGTGACAATCTGAACTCGAGCCAAGATGGGGCAGACAGAGCGAAGCTTTTGAACATTTGTATCATATGACTTTATTGCAAACCACTGTACTTGCTTTCATGCGTGGATAACTGTTATGTTTCTAATGAATAAAGTATTTAACATTAGATAAATACTTGAAAGAAACTCTTGTTTTCTTGGGAAAACTGGTTCAAGCTGTTCATCATGAACATTCTTTTGATTTTCTTCTAAATTATTTTTTATGAATGGGTTTGCTTTTATTTGTGCCTGGTGCAAACTTTAATTACTCCTCATGGGACACCAAAGAGAGAGAGAGGCGTTCTCACAGTTATATTTCTGTAGTGGAACAATTTACCAAGCAAACACATTTAGTCGCTTTAAAGTTTACGTTATCGATTTGAACCTTCTGATCCAGGAATCTGCCACTTAGCTTCTCCTCTGAGCAGGTGTGTGTGTATCTCTCTGTGTGTGTGTGCGCGCGGTGACAGCCACTTCATCCTCCCTGCCTTCCTTAACGAAGCCTCAAATGACCCTGCGACATCCCGTGATTGAAAACCAAGAGGCAGCTTCAGCACCGTTTGACCCTGCAGACGCACACAGCAGCAGTCACTCATTTGCTTCATCTCCTCCACTAACACTGAGCTCTGCTGTGTCTTATAGCCCAGAGACTGTAGTTTCTTTCATTAGGAGCTTGTTAAGCCGCGCCCGCTTGAATCGCCTGTGGTCCTGCGTTTTACAAGCCGCCCGATGGCCTGTAAGTTACTCCTGCTGCAGTTATATTTCAGCACAGCTGTGGAAGATTGCTTTCCCATTTCTCATCTTCCTACAATTCAAATAGCCTCCAGGAGAGACTCTGCTCCTCGTGGAAGTTTCATCTAAAGTTTTCTCGCTCCGGGGAAAAGAGCTCGGTTGTGTTATTTTTCATTGTTGGGTTGTTAAAATAAATGCACAGTTCTTGCTGTGATGGTGCACAGTGGTTGAGGTTAATGACACTTGTATCTGTGTGTAGTTTGAGATTTATTGAATCTCTAAGCTTTAAGCCTTTAAAGCTTTATGACTTTGTAAAATTTAGAACATGTAATGAGACCTTCTGATGGTATCGGTCTCAATGAGACTTCAGGGTTTTCTAAACTCAGAAAACCCTGAAGTTAGTTAAAATAGTTTGAGTAGACTTTCAGAAATTTAAATTTAAAAAAAAAAAGTTTGGTTTTCAGAGTAAATAATCTTGATTTGTAGATAGAGGCTTTTAATGCCTTAAAATATATTTCAGATGTTAGTAGTGACGGGAAAATTAATGCATCAAGCCTGTCTTTTATAGAGTTCATCTCAGTTTTAATTTTAACCCGTCTGATCCGATATATTCAGGAAGGAAGGAATATTAGGTCAAGTAAGACTTCTATAGGAAGGATTTCATTGAAGAACTATATCTTCCTATTTTACGTCAAATGTGTGAATAAGCCAAATTTAGACGCAGCAAAGAACATAACTGAGCTTTATTTGACGGAAGAGCAAGAGGACGGCTGTTTTATTTGCTTTGGCTATTTTCTATTTTGAATGTATCTGCGTGATGTAGTTTGAGATTTATTGAATCTGACTGTATAAATCAGGGCTAAGCTGTTAACCTTCCTCCCAGTTTTCCCCCAAGGCAGCTCCATCACTTCAGCCTTAAACTCCAGCTACACCTAAAACTATTATAATTCAGCTTGCAGCCTCTCCTGCAGTCCATGCCCCCTGTCTGGCTCAGTTAAACGCTTCCCCGGGTAAATCTTAGCTTGTATCAATTCAGTTCCCAGTGACTGATAAGTCTCCTCACGTGTTTGTTTTTCAGTTCAGTTACTAATTACTTGTTCTCAGTTCCTTCTCAGTAATGCATAGCTTTACATACAGCCTCTGTCCTAGTTTCTGAGTGCAGATAACCAGGAATTCTGCCCAACCTGGAAAAGTGTCGAGTATATTTAAGGTCTGCATAAGTACAGAAAAAAACTATGGAAAAAATATTTGCATTTTAAGACTATTTTTTGTCCTATTCTATAAAGTACTTAGTTTAACACTTTTAGAAAAATCATGTCTTTCACGTATTTGTTAAAACTTCGAATAGATGGGGAGTATGTGGAAAGAAATAAAACTCCTCTTTTTCCCCCTTTTGGTCCTACTGCCATCTGCAGAAATGCACTACTCACTAAGAAACAACCAATCAGAGCAAGTAGTGTTTTAGCGCTGTCAATCAACCTCGTGTACAGGCTGCAGCTGTACTAATGATGGAGAAAAAACTTATTGTCGCATGAAAACTGTTTATCCGCCGCTATCAGTTGCCATGCCAACAAGCCACCTCCAGCAGTCTCCGCTGTAGTGAAGGAGCCGTAGCGCAGCAGAGAGCATGGGTGTGAGCAGCACATACATGAGAGGGATTTACAGCGATATGACCCTCCTCCTGGCTCTGATTGGTTGTTTCTGACCAAGTGGTGTATTTCTGCAGATGGCAGTCAGACCACAGAGAGAAGAGGGTCTTTTCACAGATTATCTGTTACATATCAGAACATGACAGCTTTGACAAATAAGAAACTCTTTGTTTTTTTAAATAACCTGCTGCAGCTTTAAAGTGTAAATATCCATGTGGAATAGTGTGGAATTTATGGAATATCTTCATGTACAATACATTTCTGTAAAAATATAGGCTTTCTATCTATTTTTAACTAATCTTTTTTTCCAGAGAAAGCAGAGTAATCTGTAGAGATCAATATATTTGCATTTATTGATTTAGTAGCCAGTGTTATCCAGCTGTTCCTGCTTTATTCTCTGTAAATGTTTGTGTGTTCAGCCAGGAAGTCGTCTCTGTGGAGATGAGTCCTTGAAGAGGGTATTGAAGTTGTAGCTAACAATTTGTAGCTCCTTCCATCATTAGTAAAACACCACTAAAAACTCTCATGCCTTGATTTGTGGTGAAACACGGCAGGGAAACTGCTGGACAGCCACCTTCTGTGCACTGTATTCCCTAGATGTTTTGCAGTGGGGGTGTTTGGGAAGAAGAAAGTGGATTTTTTTTATTTTATTTTCTGGTTGATATTGTCCTAAATGGATTGACTTTAATCCCCCATAGATCTTTATCGATCAGAAAATGGCTTAAACAGAATCAAAAATTGCCTGAATCTACACTTTGAGCCGTAACTAAAATGTTTGAAACAGCTGGAACTTTCTACTGAGACTCAAAAGTAAGAGAGCGTGTTAAGTAGAGTAGGACTGTTGGAAAAAAAATAAATAAATAAATAAAAAAATAAAAAAAATAAAAAATATATATATATATATATATTATTTTTTTACCTCCAAGAGAGCTGCAATAAATGTTTAAAAATGTACAAATTTCTGCACGGCAGCCGTTTGCATCTTAATGTCATGTTCCAGAAATTAAGAATTCAATTACATGCTTAACTATTTTCTTTGAAGTCAAAGTTGTTCTGAGAAATATAACCAGCAGCACTTAAGTTTGAGGCTACTTTATATCAGGATAGTTGTGCCGACTGCATGCAGCTCACCATGGGGGGTTCTGGCCCGATTCTGAAGCCTGGAGAAACCTCTGCACAGCATGCCTGTAATGTGCTAAGTCAGATATGAGCCTAGTTTGGGATAGATGCATGTTTAACTGAGTGAATTTTACTGCACACGTGGCAAGATCAATTTTAGAAATATAGAAACAGGTTAGCAAGTTTTCCAACAAACTCTCCCACATTTCAGATTAAAAGTAAAGGAAGGTGAAGACACTTTTTTTTTTCCCATTTCTTAGCCAAGCTGCCCAATAGCAACCAAATGAGCATGAACACTCATAAAGCAAACAGCTTTTTTTTTTTTGCCTAATCGTCGCAACTACTACCTAATGAAACAAATTACATAACTACACTTTATTTTGACTAAAATCCCGCTGTCCTAAATACTAACTAGAGCAGCAAACATTATAATCCATGACGGTGTTTAGCAATTAATTCACTAACTCCAGTTAGATTAACATTGACTAAAATCTGGTTTCAAAATAAACTTCAGCTATCCTCACAAAGCACAATGGACTTATCAAATTATTTATTTTTTAAAGATCTGTCTAAATATAACGTGCAAAAACCCAACCTAATCCTTGACGACGATGCGTGAAAAGATTCCTAGGAATGCTCTGGAAATCATTTTATTCAGTGACAGCGCCTGGACACAGACCAGGGGAGATGTGGTCCGCTGCTAATCCTCCTGTCTGTGTCACACTGTTGCTTCCAGTGGCTTAAGTTTAGCTGTTGTATGGGATTGCTGCTCATGCTGGATCCGTGGCAGCGGACACATACTTACAGTCATATTAATTATTAGGGCGAAAGAAGCAGCCGACTTCGGTTATTCTCGTATGTTTTATTGAGCAAAAGAAAACTGTGAGAGTAGCTACTTACCAGAGCCTGACAGGAGAAAATGTCTGCTGTGGAGAGAGAATAAAAGATTCATACTTTGAGAGAGCCGTCGCAGTCGCTCATCAACACAGTTGTCAAAACAACGGCGCTACCCGTGGTCACAAAGTTCTGACTGAAACTGGAGTCGACTCGAGAGCTGAAGACGATCAGAAATCGTTTCTTGGTTTTTTTGTTTTTTCGTCCTGACTGCGGTAAAGACACTTTTTCAGTTGTAATCCAAGGGCTGATGCTAAGCTGAACATTGGAAACAAGATTCATATTTAGACTAAAAGGTTTCAAAGCGACAAGTAGCGAATGAAAAGTGTTTCTTTTTCATCTGAAGGCAACAGGTTGAAGAATTAGTGACATACAGCTCCGGAAAAAATTAAGAGAGCAACTAAAAAGATCAGTTTCTCTGACTTTACTTTTTCTAGGTAAACGTTTGAGCAAAATGAACATTACTCTTTTATTCTATGAGCCAATGACATCACGTCTCTGAAACTCCAAGCAAAAATGTAGTATTTATTGGCCAAGTAATGAGAAATGGACAAAATAACGAAAACAAAGCAGTGGTTTCAGGCCTGAAATAATGCAAAGAAAACAAGTTCATATTCATTTAGAAACCACACTAATGTTTTAACTCAGGAAGCGTTCAGAAATGAATATTTGGTGGAACAACCAGGAGGTTTTCAGTGCAGTGGGCTCTTCATTTTTTCCAAAGCTGCATGTGCCTGTGA